CACTTTTCCTTTTAAACAATCCGATAAGCACTTAAATCAAATATTTCTAGAGTCAAGCAGCAGTTAAAAAAACCCTCAAAATATTAAAAAAGAACCAACAAACTAGATGTAGCTAATTTACCTATATTAAATCTATACTTTATCAAACTACCTCATCTACTTAATCATTTAAAAGTAATCATATATGTGATATATGGGCTCTAAATGATAGTTAAATATACTTGAAAATAACTGTAAACCTACAGGAAAAACATAAATTTGCCTATTGAAATGCAAAGTATGAGGTTGAAATTACCTCTGATTTAAACAGAAAATGAAAAGATTCTTACTATAAGGAGTCTTTATTTTAATAAATGTTTTTGAAGTCTAATAGCTATTTTTAAAAATTTGAACCATTTACATTTTTTAAAGTCTCATTATAATTCAATTGTAAGTTCTTTAAAAACAGATGTAGATTCTTTTAAGGTAATGAAAAGTTCACTGGTTCTGTTTTTGAAGACTTTTAAAGAAACGACTATTTAAATTAATTTTGTCATAGGGACAGAGGAGGTAGACAAAAGTCATCTTTTTACTACTTTATGTAAATCTCACTAATATTTATATCACTTTCTTATAACCTACTTTGTTTATGTTGGTGTGTTTTTCTTTCTTTGTAGTCTTATTGTTGTGTCTGGTATAGATGTTAAAGGTTATGTTAAGTATCTTGTGAGCAGTAATAGTTTCAATCTGTTTATCACAGTCACGTGGATCACTTCTGCCTAGCTTTTCTAGCATCTTCCATTAACTGAGAAGACAGTCCGTTCCACAACCAAGTTAACTTATATCTGTCTAGATTATGTACTCTCAAGTTCCTGGATCCTTTGTGAGTTGCCTCGTTACTTAAATCTTAAACTTCACTTCTGTGCTTGACAGCAATGCCATTGTTTTGCTTACTTCCCGATCGGAAGGCTGGCAGTCTCCTCTGAGACTGATGCCAACTGAGCTCTGTGTATCAGCCAGTAGGAGTCACTTGGAGCAGATGGTCATCATCCTTCCCCACAGCCCAAATCCCTGGTCTGGGTGGCAAAGTCCCAAGACCACACCTACATACATGCCAACTGTCCTTATTTTCTAAGATACTTCTTATTTGTTTAGCTTAATAAATCATTTTCCTTAATATCTTTCTAAGTGACTTATGTTCTCATTTCAATTTTCTTTGATATATCTTCCTATTAGCATTTCTCCCTTCTATCTCTATCCTTTATTTCCCTTGTTACTGGAATATATACATTTACATCCACATTTCTTGGTTTCATAAATATTCATTTCTAACTCTAGAGATTTTATATAGTTATTGGTGTCTACATAACAGGTTGGAATTTTATTCCAGTGAGAAAGTGTATAATCACTACTCTTTCTGTTTGCATTTCTGCAACTTAAAATATTGAAGTTAAATTTTGGATGTATAATTTTATCAAAAACAAGCAAAAAAATCTGAATGATCAACTTTATTATTCTAAGTAGCATTTTAGTAGCTTTTCAGCTGATAAAATATCTTAAAAGTTGGTACCTAATCTATTATATAAGGGTAGAACATATGGCTTAATTCCTAAGAGAGTACATAAAATATAGAGTCAAAAAATAGGGTTCATAAAATATTTTAAAAACTGTTATGTTATGTAATTCCCCACCCTCAGGCAAGCACAGTTATTGGAAAATCTTAAGTCAACTTGTTTGAAAATGGTTGTGAATTATGACATTTTTGGACTAAAAAAGTATCATATCTGATTATTCAAAAGCATACAACACTTTGGTAAAAAGATGTCAGGGTCCTAATATAATAATTATGATATAATCAAGTTAAAAAAATGAGTCATAATAATTTTCAGTTAGTTTGCCTTTAGAATCGTCTGTTACATTTAAGGAAGCCACCTAAGTACAGGGCTTTACAGGTAGTTTAATTCCTAAAAAAATTATTTGTGAATTTTGTATAAAGTGAAAAACTCTTTTGAAGTATAAATATCCTCTCCTCATGTTTTTATAAATCCATATTAAAAAAACATCTAGTGTACTTAAACTAATATATACTTGTATTTAAGGGAAATGACTTGCCAAAGCATGAAATATGAAATGACAGTAGTAAAACATAATCCAACCAATTAAGCTTAGGATTTAGAGCAATTTTCTTTCAAGGAATAGAGGCATCCTGAAAAGATCATGCAACTCACAGGAGAAAAGGAATATTCCCCTTCAGACCTAGAATATCAAGGTTACATGTAATGTGGTGACATGAGTTTTCAAAGTTGTGTCATTTGGACAAAGCAGAACAAATTGATGAGAGATTGTTCAGTTGAAACTTCAATTTTTTCTAGTGTCTATGTACACAGGGCAGATTCTTTTTCTCTAGTACTAAGAAAGTTGATATGCAGTTTGTTGGGAGTTTAGGTGACAAGACAGTCCATCCCAAGGAAGGTGGACCTAAGACACATATCACTTAATGATGGCAATCAGGTTTATCGCTATCTCTGATGACTTGTTACAAGTACTGAAGCAAATAAATAAAAACTACTCAGGCTAATAATTTGAAGCCACTGAAAAAGTATAGTATATTACATGAAAAACAATGCTACTGGCACATGAATAATGTATATTATGTGGGTATTCTAGGAAAAATGTATTTTTGCTGGTTATTTTATAGGCAACAGAATATATTATCAGTTCTAAGCATAGTCATTGAAACAAACAAATGTTAAACAATTTTGTTAATCTTCATTGGACAGAATAATGGATGAAAGTAAGCCACAAGCTTATATCCAGTAATGACAACTAGATATGTTATATGATATGACATGAATTTGTTATTTAATATCTTGAAGTGTTATTTTTTTATTAAAAAGTTTCCCATCCTTGCCAACATATCATTAACAACAGAATGAAAATCAAAGCTTAATCATTTCATCTAAATGTTTTAGCAAGAAGTGAGGTTTGTACAATATCTTGACAAACACTACCTGACAAAATTTGTGCTGGATTAAAAAAAATACAAAAGCATAGCACATTCTAGGTTGATAACTTCTGTGGTAATAATGGTCTAGTCTAGTTGAATCTCACAGTGCAATTAATATCCAGAACTTGGACTTAAAGTTTTAAGTTCTGAAGTCTATCTAAATGATTTCAACTACTGTTGAAAACTCCTCAACGGGGCTGGGGATGTGGCTCAAGCAGTAGCGCGCTCGCCTGGCATGCGTGCGTCCCGGGTTCGATCCTTAGCACCACATACAAAGATGTTGTGTCCGCCGAAAACTGAAAAATAAATATTGAAATTCTCTCTCTCTCTCTCTCTCTCTTTAAAAAAAAAAAAAAAAGAAAACTCCTCAACGTATTACTATACAATGCAACCAACACAATTGCTAGAATAGCAAATGAATGCGTGTATGATCCAAAAACTAAATTATAGACTGGGATATTATAATAAATCTTTGAGGAATTTACCTAGGAATAGGAAACTCAACTGTGGGATGAAGTTGCTAATGCCCTCTGAAATTAGAAGGTGAATAATGAGTTGAGTAACTTTAAGTTGTGTTAGAGGACTTTCAAAATCGTATCGTAAAATAATGATGTCAATCATAGTTTGACTTGGACTTAATATGTAAAATTTACCAATGACATTAAATATAAAATTGTCCTGAACAATTTTAGAAATTGTTGTTTTAGAAATTGAATACTGTCCTGAACTATTTTAGAAAATTATGACTGGGAAGACGAAAAGAGGTATCTGTAAACTAGAAACTCAAGGCAATAAGTCAAACAGACTTTTATTTCTTTTCTAAAGACAAAGAAATGATAGATTCTTTCCTAGTATATATTCTATAATGCAAAATTCTGATACATTTCTCTTTTAAAATGGAATAGCCAGAAAACATTAATATAGAATATAATAAACTGTCGCCTCCACTTCTATGAGCCATTTTTCTTTTTCTTTTCTTTTTTTTCCCCCCAAGATATTTCCTTTTCTTAGAACCAATATTTGAGCAAACAGGCCCGGCATCTTGTGTATGAGTCCTATCAGACCAGGATTCTTTTAATCACAGTCAAGTGGCATTTGGAAGTACTTCACCTCTGACAAAGTTTAGTGTGCATGTGTGCACATGCACGAGTGTTTTCAACTTTAGAAAATGAGCACTGAAGAGGGATACTGAATAACCCCAAGAGCTTATTAACCAGTGCTCCTTGTCATCTCCTTAAAGGAACATGGAAAGCTGAAGAGCTTCTGTGAGGATGAGTGGAGATAAAGATGTGCAGCATATTGTGTGTAAGAGGAGCAGTATGCTTATTTGTCAGCTCCCAAACGACAGGCTGCTGCTCTGTACTACTGTTACTAAAAATACCATGCTTGGCATGGTAGATGTGAAAAAAAAAATCTGTGGTCTGATTTGGAAAGAAATCAGTGAGGTAAA